GGGAAATGATGCCGATCTCAAACTGAGTAGAGAAACAGGCTGCAGTCGCGTGGAAAGCCCGGTAAGGGTCTTACTATTGAGGATATTGAAGGTTGCTCCCCCAAGGGCCCATGAAGTTCGGATTGAAATAGAATACACAGGTGTTTGTCACACAGGTGGGTTGATGGGTTTTCTTTTTCCCCTTTGTTTGAGTAGAGACTTAGGGCATAGCCAGGAGAATGGACCATCATTACTGTGCAACTCCAACTCACTGTTACCATTTTATAGATGCGTATACGCTTTCTGGAAAGGATCCAGAGGGGGCATTCCCCATCGTCTTGGGCCATGAAGGCGCTGGTATCGTCGAGTCTGTTGGTGAAGGGGTGACTTCCGTCAAGCCTGGTGACCACGTAGTTGCTCTCTAGTATGATATAACCCCATTTCCGCCCCTCATTGCTTGACAATTTGGAATGGCTTCGGCATCTAACTGGCTACCAACAGTACTCCTGAATGTAAAGAATGTAAATTTTGCAAGTCCGGCAAGACGAACTTATGCGGTAAGATCAGAGCCACCCAAGGAAAAGGGGTCATGCCCGATGGAACATCCCGATTCTCCTGCCGTGGCAAAGAGCTTTTGCATTTCATGGGCACTTCCACTTTCTCGCAATACACCGTTGTAGCCGATATTTCTGTTGTCGCCATCACAGATAGAGCTCCCATGGATCGGACATGTCTGCTGGGGTGTGGTATCACAACAGGTTATGGTGCTGCAGTAGTGACTGCCCGTGTAGAGGAAGGCTCGACTGTGGCTGTATTCGGAGCCGGATGTGTTGGCCTGTCTGTGATCCAGGGTGCAGTGATGCAAAAAGCCGGCAAGATCATTGTGGTCGATGTCAATGATAAGAAGGAATCGTGGGCGCGGAAATTCGGTGCTACGGACTTCATCAACCCTACGAAACTTGATGGGAAACTTATACAAGACAAACTCATTGAGATGACGGATGGTGGATGCGATTATACCTTTGATTGTACAGGCAATGTCAGTGTGATGCGTGCTGCTCTTGAAGCCTGCCACAAAGGCTGGGGTCAAAGTATTATCATTGGTGTTGCAGCAGCCGGTGAAGAAATATCCACGAGACGTAAGTACTCCAGCTTATCTCCCTCTTTTATAAAAAATTTGACCCGGTGCAAACGCGAATAAGTAAAGTATCGCTAACTTTGGGGGTATTATCTCCAGCATTCCAACTTGTTACTGGCCGCGTATGGAAAGGCTGTGCCTTTGGCGGCATCAAAGGCCGCAGCCAGCTACCAGCAATAGTCAATGACTACATGATCGGTAAGCTGAAAGTGGACGAATTTATCACCCACCGCGAATCATTGCCGGCCATAAACTCAGCGTTTGAGCAAATGAAGCAAGGTGACTGCATTCGCTGCGTGATTAACATGAAGCAGTAAGTCATTTTTTGCTCCTGCCAGAAGGAAAGCCTGGCTTTGTTTCTGTATCTGTCTTGGCATTCATTTTTAAGGATGGAGTACTTTATCGAAAGAGGGAACAGGAACGTGGAGATTGAGCCTGCGGGATTGCAAAATCCTAAGTTCCAACAGCTAAGGGAAGGGAAACTAAAACGTATGATCTGAGTTGGTTTTCTTGTTTGGGATGATAGCCGAATATTTGGAATGGGAAACAGCTAGTTCGGATGACGATATAACATTTTTTAATAATGATAATAAAATAAATCTCTGAATGGATGTCGTCGCTCAAGTGGCTAGCTACCAGTTGGGAACCTAAGTTCCCTTCACAGATTGGAAATTTATATAGTAACTAAAAATGGTGCAAACCAGTCAACGAGCTCCCAAACAGCTGGGGGAAGTTTAGAGGGCTTGGTACCTAAAACCCGGCCATCGAGTTTGGCATAAAAGGCGCATAACTTATGCCGTGAGGACCGGATTCATTTGAGCTCTGGCAATTGAGAGTTTCATTTAAATTTCCAATGTGTGCAAGGACTTGTGTCCCTCCATAAATTGCGCTGGGCCTCAGGGTCAACTAACACCTTTGCTATCGGTAATTCGAATTCCCCCCCCCCCCCCAAAGCTATTCGTACTATGCTGCGGCTGTTATTGCTTCCAGTGATGTGGTGATGTGACGTCACAGAGTTTGTCTTTCCTTTTTTAACGGAGTGCACAAGTCACTTTCTTATTTATTCCCTGTTGATGATCAGCTTGATACTATTATTATTTCTCGCCACCTTGGATGTTTTGTAAACAAGAGAGGTGAATGTGAATCTCTTTTTTTTTTTTTTAAAAAAAAAAAAAAAAAAAAAAAAAAATTTACTTTTTTGGCTTATTCATTCATCACACGTCTTGATACGTGATTTAATTTCCATATAGGAATGAAACTTCTTTTTCGGTGGTCAGGGGGTGGCAAATGCATCGCCTTTTATTTTATTTTATATACCTTTATTCTGTTTTCCACGGATCGATAAACAACATACAATAAAACCGAAACGCATTTCCATAACTACCATTTTGACCCCCCCCGGTTCATGAATCATCAAACACTGCAATTCAATTTTCTTGGGTTTCTCCTTCTTTCTACCTGGGTTTGTGTTTGTTTTAAATCTAATCTCTCCCAACTTTCTTCTATTTTGCATGTTGGGGAGGCCGTGCCGTGCATGTCACTTATCACGCGGAGTTTTGCAAAGTGGTCATTTTAGCTATCTTGGACCATCCTTTATTCACCGATAACAATGCTATATATATAAGCTACGCACAGGATCATCTGGGGAGCAGCTTAAAAGAAGGCGCAGGGATATGTCGGCAGGCATGTATTGTACTTAATCATTGCACTAATTATTAGATCGATACATACATACCTATGCAGGCATCAGTTATCACTAGGCTAGCTAAATCAAAGGAGTGTGTGTTGTGTTGGCCCAGCAAGAGACATTTTTTTTTTTCTTTTTTTTTTTCAAAAAAAAAAAAAAAAAAGGAAAGTAGAAACCGAGATGTTTTTTCAATTTGGTCGGAGAAAGGAAACCACAGAAGCAAAAGCACCGCCGCTACTCTCAGTACATCATTGAAAAAAAAAGTTCC